CAAAAACAAAAAAACCCAAACATTTGTGTAAGATATATGTTAAAAAAATTTGACCATGAATTACTTTAACAATTGAAACATGGTAATTCTTTATGTGGAAAAGGTTAATAGGCAATATTTTACAGTTTTAGAAATGTTTAGATTTTAAGTTCTTGCATTGAATTTTGCCCAAATGCCTCTGTTCATCTGAGTTTCCCAAACTGAAAAAAATTTACATGTATATTTATACAATACCAACAATACACATTATGTAAAATCTATTTATCAATCTGTCTGTCTGTCTGTCTGTCTGTCTGTCTGTCTGTCTATCCATCCCAGGAATCAAACTCAGGACATTGGCCAGGCAGATGCTTTGCTACTGAGCTGTATCCATGGCCCCATAATGTAAAGTTTAAATAACCATAGATATTTCTGTGTTTTTCTCTGCACCCCTATGTTATAGATCAATACGAAAATCTCCTGCATACTAGGCAAGCATTGTACTACTGGGCAGCTTTCTCAGCTTTTCATTTTATTTTGAGACTGGGTTTCACAAAGTTATCTGTGTTGACCTCAAACTTGGCTTGTGATCTTCCTGCCTCAGCCTCCCAAATAGCTGGAATCACAAGTATATGTCACAATACCTGGTTGTTTCTGAAGTATTTATAGAGTTAATTGAATTAAATCAGCATACATATATTAAACTTTTAGATAATATCATTAGTGTGAGTTGCCCAAAATGTTCCTTGATATACTTATATGTAATATCAACCTCACATAATCAATGATATGGAATTCACATAGAAAAATAATACCTTTTAAGAATTTGGCTGCCGGATGTGGTGGCACCTGTAATCCCACCTCTCAGGAGGTTAAGGCAGAAAGATTGCTGCAAGTTGGAGACCAGCTTGAGCTACAAAGTGAGTTCAAGACCAGGATGAAGTGCATAGCGAAACCCAGTCTCAAAAAGACAAAGAGAAAAGAATTTGGCTTACAGTATTTTAAATTGAAAGTATACAACACTGCCAGGTATTTGCTCCTTTAACATCTGATATAGCTCGTATATATTATATATAGCTCATATATATGCTGTATATATGAAACTTACTATTGAAATTTCTTACTATTGAATGATAAGAAAGTGGTTGTGGACCAAATCACATTGCATGTTTATCATCAGACATACTGTAGCTCCATGTCAGTTGTCTTTGCTCATAGTGTCTCTGTTTTCTTTAGTTACTTTTAGGATTTTTTTTAATCCTCTGTTCTCAGCAGTATTATTATACTGTTCCTAGGTATGATTTTCTTTATTTTCTGTCTATATGTTCCTAGAAGTTCTTGAATCTGTAGCTTGATGTTTTTTATCAGTTTTGGGGAAATACCAAGCAATTACCTCTTCATCTACTTTTTTTCTGCCTTAGGCTTTATTCAGTGGGATTCCAATGACATGAATAATAGACTGTTGCACCATGTCTTATGTGCCTGTTGTGTTCTTCCTGGCTCATGGTGACTATTTTCTGACTGACCTATCTTTCATTTCTCCAATCTTCTTTTATGCTGTGGCCAGTCTGAATACATCTTCATCTTTTTTTTTTTCCACTTAGATCTAAATTTTCATTTGCTTATTATATGGTTCTCAGTTATCTGCTGATTTTTTTTTATCTTGTTTTATACTTTCAAAAATATTGGTAAACTCTTACTTAACCCTTTGCAAATCTGTTTGTCTTTTTTTTTTTTTCTCGCTCTCCCTTTTTTAGTGGTTTTTGACCTTGTCTTCTGACATCTTTAATAGTGCACCTTGAAATACAACATACTGGAAATATTCTGAAGCTTTCTCTCTCTCTCTCTCTCTCTCTCTCTCTCTCTCTCTCTCTCTCTCTCTCTCTTTCTGTCTCTGTCTCTCTCTCTGTCTCTCTCTCTGTCTCTCTCTGTCTCTGTCTCTCTGTCCCTCCCTCCTTCTTTCTCTCCCCCTCTCTCTATTCTCTCTCCCCCTCCCCACCCCCATTTTGCCTTTAGAAAGCATTTTTGATATCCCATATCAGCTTCTGTTTTCTTCTTATCCATCACAACTGTATCATACAGTTTACTTAGCCACTATCCTGGCTTCAAGGGAGGCTAGAAAATGTTATGTTTTGCTGAATTCAAATTTTTTTTTCCCTTCCAAAGGGAGAAAAAAAGGACTTTTTTAAAAGAAAGACTTCTTTTGGTAAAATTCACATCTATAAAATGATGACAGATATAAGGAGAACAGAAATTTTGTGTGAAAATAAGAACACTAAGTTTTTCTAAAATGTTCACAGATTTGCTTTTGAGACACTAAAAAACAACTCCAAGGAATTTAAAACTTTTGTTCAGTTTTCTTTTTTAGAAGCAGTAGAGTACTACAGTAGTCAACACTGAAAATGATAGAAACTTTGGTAGTAAAGCTTTGAAATTCTAAAGCAGAAAAAGAAATCTCAAATTCTACTAACCAAATATAACTTCATTATTTGGGTAGATGATTTTTTTTTAAAATGTATTTAGTACAGGATCTATAGGGTCTCACTACACAGATTGGACTTGTAGTGATCCTCCTGTTTTCAGCCTCTCAAGAGCTGGGATTGCAGGTGTGCACCCCCATGCCCAGTCTCAGTTGTGTCTCATCACACCCCGGAGGTGGGGCCAGCAGGGCAGGGAATCAAATTCCAGTTGCTTAGCCTGCCTGACTAGGTGCTGTAGACAGCTGTGCTATCTGGCTGGTTCTCAGTGATCTTGTATATATGTGTATTTTGTTTTATAGGTTGACATTATACATCCTATTTTGTAAAAGGCGAAAGATTTATACGATCTGAAGAGAAACCAGAGTATATATACGTCCTATTTTGTAACTTGTTTATTTACTGAGTACACTTCCATTTTAAAATGTACAATGAGGTAGTTTATAATTTCGACATAATTTCTTTAACTTAAAGGCTGTTTAATTTTACTGTTCCACCCTAATAGCATATGTTTTGTGTATGTCTGTTCTGTCTCCACTCTTTTCTTCGCCAAATTAGTACACATTGATGTTATTATTGACTTACTACCAAAGGAATGTGTGCTTACAGTCAGTGGGAGTAATGAACATATTAGGTATGCTCTGTTTTAATGATAATGATTCCTGGTAGAATCCCCTTAAATTTTTTTTTTTCCCCTTGAGACTTGATAGCACTATGACTGCAGTTGTGAATAAAGTGACAATACTTTTTTTCTTTTGTACTCTATTTTTTGTACTCTTTTAGAAGTAGATCCTATACATTTCCTGAAAGACAGTTGAGAATGCTTTGTTAATGTAAAATTTCTACTATAAAATGTATTTTAAAATAGTAGAACTGCTTTGAGATGCAAACGTTTGTGCAGTTGGCTAAGTTCCCTTGCTAGCCAAGTAATACATACATGCTGGAGTGACAGAAAATATGACTTAAAATTATACTTGAGTCATATAAAAATTATATGACTTAAAATTATATTAATTTTACAAATTACTACATGTCATGAACTTTCAAAGTCACTCAGGAACACTAGAGTTTGTGAATATTAAATTAGGAATAACAGAAGGCCTATTTTATAAATTATATATAATTTTAAGAATATTTATTCCTTGATTTTTAACAGAAGATTTACATAATTTAGTTTCAGCTCCACCTAGTTGCTCATTTTACTGCCATGGATAAACTTAACTTTCACATACAGACTTCTGTATTAAGATCCATCAGTATTTATTGTTCATCCTGAACTTTGTAGCAGGTAGACCCTTAGATCATTCTTGTATGACAAGCTCTGATATGGTGAGGATGATTCAGGTTAGAGTTTCTAAATGGCTGATGATGTTGTTGTAAAGAGGAATAGTGACTAAGTAATAAACTTCGCTACCTCTGATGAAATCACTCACACATCAATTCCTGACATCACACCCTTGAAGTTTCCACATGGCATTGTGGGAATTTGTCTTGTCAACTGGATGGAGGTAATCTAGCATGAATTTTTAACCAGTTTAGAATTGTTCACCAGTAGATAGGAGGAGACAGCAAAGTCTAGATTACATTATTCCTAAACCTTTTTTCTTGAGAAATGGGCAAGCTGAATTGCTTTAAACTTTTTCTTTTTTAAATCTACCTATTAATGGCAGTTTAGCAGAGTACTTCTTTATTTTATTCTCATCTTTACAGTAGCACTTCCAGCCACATGTTATTATTTTTGTCTATCATCTTCCCATACTAGATTGTATGTTTCTGATAAGTAGGGACTGTGACTTAGACATCTGTTGGTTCCTACCAACTCCTTAGTGCCTCTTAAAAACGTATTAAATAGCACATAAATTTTAATTAGTTGGGCTGGACAGATAGCATAGCAGTCTAAGCACCTATCTGATAAGCGCAAGGTCCCCAGTTTCATCCCCAGTACTATATGCCGTGCTGGGCATGATGGCACATTACTGTAATCCCAGTGCTGGGGAGGCTGAGATAGGAGAATCACTACAAGTCTGAGCTGTGTAGCGAGACCCTGTATCCAATAAATAAATGAAAAAAAATTTTTTTAATTGGTAAAATATTGACAAATTGGATCTTAAAGGCTGTAACATAATTTTATTGTTTAATTTGTATGATTTTTCCTTTAAATGATATTGCCACTGTCCTAATTGATGGTTTATCTTTTAGAAAAAAAGTCATATATTACAATTAAATTTTATTTAAAACTTTCTAAACATAAGTGTTAATGTTTCCTTTTAATCTATAATGGAGATACATAAGTTTTTTGGAGCCAAGGGTAAAATTCTTCAATTTGAATACCACACTTGATACAAAAAATTGACTTCTAATCTTTCAGACCTTTGATCTAATTATTAATTATTGACCATTCAACAAGAACTTAATTAGGGAGAAAGTCTTGTACAAGTGGTCAGTGGGTAATTAAATATGGTACCATTTAAAATTATATTAAAGTAATATTTTCTCAGCAAAATAGACCATTCAGCCTGTAATTTTTTGTTGTTGTTGTTATAGGGTAAAGTTCACCTTGAATTAAAACTGAATGAACTGATAACAGAGAATGGAACTGTGTGCCAGCAACTCGTTGTACAGTAAGCAGATTTCTTCTAAGTCTCCATTTTGTGTTCTTAAGCCAATCCTTAGTGTAAATACATCAGAAACTTACTCCAGAAATGGATCTCTGTGCTGGAAATGTAGCTTAATAGAGTTCTTGCCTATCATAAATTTGTGAGGCCCTGGGTTCCGTCTCCATGCTAATTCCATTTCACCTGCATGCTAACCTTTGGATTTCTGGAGATCTGCTGATTAAGCCTAGTACTTCCTCTCCCCTCCATCTCCTTACTTTGGGTTATCAACAAATGAACATAACTTTCATCTTGGATGCTTTATTTCAGTTAATAACTGAGTATCTTCTTAGATTTTGAAGTATTTATACTTCAAATATTTTATTTATAGCCCTCTCAATTGAGGCTATGTTCTTCTGTTATACCCACATACCTCAAGGCAAGGGAGAATGAATATTGTTCTACTGTTGCTCTGGACTCATTCTCCTAATTGTAAAAAATCCCAGCTCTTTTGAGGCAGCTTCTCTGTATATTAAAATATACATATCAAATGTTACATATAATAATATTTTTTATGAAAACTTTGTAAGAAGTTATATATATTATAATGCTTTGTCCTTAATGTGTATTATGTAAAAGTATGGATGTTCTTTTTTTAAAAGAGAGTACAAATTAGAATTAAAACAAAAAATTACAAGTGATACAGAATTTCACTTAACAGAGTAATATGAATTTCAAGAGCCAGCCAAATAGCTCAGTGGACTAAAGCACCTGCTTAGGCAGAGCATAGTGGCCAGGATTTGATCCTGGACATGCTGTGCCAGCCCCAACCCTGGGTCTCACTGAGACATTGGAGACTGGGCGTGGTAGCATACACTTGTAATCCCAGCACTTGGGAGGCTGAAAACAGAAGAATCACTACGAATCTGATCTGTACTGGAACCTGGTAGACCCTGTATACCCTGTACGAAATACATTTAAAAAAAAAAAAAAACAGCCCAGGGGCTGGGGAGATAGCTCAGTTGAATAAGTGCTTCCCTGCCAAGCACAAGGGTCTGAGTTCAATCCCCAGCTCTGCAAAAAAAAAAAACAAAACAAAAAAAAAAACCCGAAGTAATGTGAATTTCAAAGTATTTGTTGTAATACATAGTGTCTTCCAATCAGTTATTCATCTTACCAGATATATGCATATGTAAATTTGGAAGAAGAAAGAAAAATTAGGAGAAGAAAGTAATATAATACATGTATAAGAAATTAAGAAGAGAAAAAGTACAATTGAAAAAAGGAGACAAAACAAATTATTATCTGTTCCTTTCCATTGTCCAGCAGAAATCCACAGTACAGTTGTCTAAATCACCCTGCTTACGTACATAGATAAATCTCTTTCCCTCACTCCCTCTTCTGTCAGTAACAGAAAACTCAACAACTCTTTCCTTTTGATTAAGTTCGTTCCCTTTTCCCACTTTCTGTTGTACCCTTTTTATTTTTTTATATATTTATTTTTTTATTGAGAAATAAATATGAATGAGACAGTTTCACAGCTGATTAATAGGACAGTTTTGATAGTCAATACACTGTACATTGTTACCTTCTTAGTGGTTATCCATAGTACAAGAAGCAGACAGGATATTCTATCCAAACACTGTTAGTACACCTCTTTCTTCTCATTGAATTATGTGAAAGTAGCT